AGAGGGAGCAAAAAGCCAGAACGTCTGCTTATATACAGATGTGGGCCATGCCTCCAAGGAGACTCCCTTTCATCTGATTGGCTACTCACAGTATATTCAATCATGGGAGTGATTACATTAAAACACTGATCATGGCCCAGCCAAGTTGACACACAATCTTAACCATCACACTGCCCCATAGAGTTTCCAAGGAATGGATTAGAACTGGTGGATTCAAACTGCTAATCTTTTGGTTAGCAGCTGAACTCTTCAACCACTATGCCACCAGGGTTTTCAAGAATGATATATACTCCCTGCTAAATAAGTAAACAAACAAATAAAAATCAGAAAACATAGAAAAGTACAAGGAAGAAGGAAAATGGTTACCCTAATTTTTTCATCCAAAGGGTGTTGCTTTGAAAAACAGTTTTCTATTCAATAATTTGTGAGTCTTTAAATTGTAATACTAAGGAAGCCAGCTATGTGTATGTATATGTATGCTCTTTCATAAACACAGTTAGGTACCTTCTATATGAACTGGTCTTGCTGAGGTCACCAATATGATCTCTGTACATATTTGATACTGTTTGCCCATTGCTACCTTTTGACATTGTTCTCTTGGTTCTTTCTCCTGTCCTCTTGGTTCTTTCGCTTCTCCTTCCTTTTTACCTTTCCTACCTCCTTGATGTTCTTCATCATTTTTCCTGGCTCCTTTCTCTTTCTGATTTTTAAATATTAATGTTCTCCAGAATTCTTTCCTCAGCCTCTTCTTATTCTGTACACTTTCTCTGAGATTTTCCATCTAGTCTTGTGGTTTTAATTACTACCTGGATACAACAACTTTGGAATCTGTACATCTCACCTAGATCTCTCTTTTTCTTATTTATAGATTAGTATTTCCATCTGCTTACAGGACATCTCCACCTGTGTATACTAATGATGACTTGATGTCTGCATGTCTAAGAAATAACTTATTACTTCACCGTAGTTTCCCATTTTCCTTTCTTTATTCTTTTTCTTTATTTCTGCTTCTCCATCTCTACAGTCATCATTATTAGCTTATTACTTGTGTTTTGCCTGGACTACTAAAATAGCCCCTTAATGGTTTCTCTAATTTTCCTTTCCACTTTACTATCACTTAGGAGTGTCTTATTCATGAGTAATTTCTGCTAATTGCAAGGAAAACATTTCCAAAATCCCCAATTACAAGTGAGGCCTGTAATAATTTTGTACATATACTCTCTGCATAGCTGAAGAAATAGAGCCTTCACTGACAGGGATCACAACAGAGGGTTCCAGACAGTGCTGGAGAAAAATGTAGAACAAAATTCTAACTCACAAAAAAAGACCAGACTTAAACTGGCCTGACAGAGACTGGAGAAACTCCAAGAGTATGGCCCCTGGACACCCTTTTAGCTCAGTAATGAAGTCACTCCTGAGGTTTACCCCTCAGCCAGAGATTAGACAGGCCCATAAAACAAAACTAGATTAAAGGGGCACAGCAGCCCAGGGACAAGGACTAGAAGGCAGGAGGGGACAGGAAAGCTGGTAATAGGGAAACCAAGGTTGAGAAGGGAGAGTGTTGACATGTCGTAGGTATGGTAACCAATGTCACAAAACAGTATGTCTGCTAATTGTTTAACGAGAAGCTAGTTTGTTCTGTAAACCTTCATCTAAAGTACAATAAAAATAAATAGAAAAATCATAATTATTTTACTGTATAATATGTTAGTGGAGCCCTGGTGGCATAGTGGTTAAGAGCTCAGCTACTAACCAAAAGGTCGACAGTTCGAATCCACCAGCCGCTCCTTGGAAACCCTATGGGGTAGTTCTACTCTGTCCTGTAGGGTCGCTATGAGTTGGAATTGACTTGATGGCAATGGGTTAATATGTTAGTCTGAAACTAACAGGACTACTCTTTCTAAAACACAAGATAATTATTTTCCACTCTGCATTTAAAAAATAAAAGTTCCTTCTCTCAACTTTTAAGTAAAATGTAAAGTGTAAATAAAGTTCCTCTCATCTGAAGTTATCTGTAATTAACATGTCATTTTCATAAACCACCTTGAGAGTACGCAGCTTTAGCAAGAGGATTTCCCAATGTGAATTTTTAAAAGACCTTAAATTCTACCAGAGATAGATATTTTAAATGAAAAAACAATTTTAGCAAAAAAAAAAAAAAAAAAAAAAAAAACTGCTGTTTAAAAGAAATATGTCCTTACACATTCTAAAAATCTCATCAAATCCCAGCTTTGCCCCAAGTCTAGCCCTTGCCCTCTCATCAACTTTCTGTTGGCTTTATGCCACGAGTTGTATCAAGTCATGCTTGGTTATGAAGATATTGGAGACACAGGTAGTTAGAATAAGGAGAGGTCCTAGCTACTTATGCCTTTTCACACCTGCTATTTGTAAAACTCTATGAGAATGGAGGAGTTGTGTACTCTTAATAAATTAGTGTCTTCTGGTATTTATACTTAAATTAGATGTTCTGCCTATTTTTAAGATGGCTTATTTTTTTTAGGCATCTGTGGGAAAACTAGAATTGCAGAAGTAGGAGGTGTGCCTCACTTACTTCCTCTTGTAAACCGAAAAAAAGTAAGTGTTGTACATTTTCTCTTCACATTCAAATGAAGGTCATAGAAGTTGTGTTGATTCCTCTTATTATTAGACGATCCATTTATCAGTGTGGCAAGGAAGTGTTATGGACTCATTAATAAAAAGAAAACCAGAGAATTACTGTAAGTTATGATTTATGAGTCCAGGTTCCCACTGTGATTAATTTAAATAATATTTTTTTGTCCTCATTTATATAGGTTTATGATCTGAGTAAGATTGCAAAAGAAATCAAGCTGCCTGGAGCTTTCATTCTTGGAGCAGGGGCAGGCCCATTTCAGACTCTTGGGTTCAATTCTGAGGTCAGCATAGATATAATGTAATTACTTTATTGATCTGACATTTGGTTTGCCTTTTTCCTTTCACTGTCAGAAAGCCTCAATGCTTGAGTTGTAAGTGGTCGATTTCATGGTACATCACTTGATAACTGTTTTTATAGCACATACTCTACTTGGTCCAACTGTAATGGAGCACTAGCCACTATCTTCAGATCCTCTGAGGGTATAGATTCAGCCTCAGATGAATCCAAGATCCCACCGTGGTCTGCTAAGGACCCTGGATTGTGAAAGGTTTTTATCCTTATATATCAGAGGATTCCTAGCTTCTCTATAATTCTTTGCATTTGGTAGAGGGCAGCTTTGGATCAGAAGATGAATAGAATATGTAATGATCTAGTCAACACTCTCTTTCCGTTCAGAGAAGTATGTTGATTATTTGCCAAAGGTACTATCTATTACTAAGTATGTCAGTACATTTTCAACATAAAAATATTACATCAGTGTTTCTTGACATTTCATAGATGGAAGAGTGCAGTCAGTCTGCTCATTCACTTACAGCCTCTTCAGATGTGACCATTTGTCAGTGATCACACAACTTCTTTTGCAGAAACGTCAATATCATTTGCCTTGTGTTCAAGATAGAAGAAAAGTTTAAAATTTAAAATTCGACATTTTTAAGGAAATGTTACAAATGTTATAGAAACACTAAGAAATTCTACAAACATTTTATGTTTCCCAGTTTGTTGGTATTTGTATTTCTATTTCTTTAACACTTTGTATGTAAAATTTAATAGTTTATGTTTTATGTTTTCTTATTAGGTCTTGAAATAAAATGTCTTAAAAGTCTGGGAAAAAATGTTTTGTCACATTTTTAAAGATATTCTCTTTAGAATATCTTAATAGGTATTCTCTTTAGAATAACTTGATAGAGATACTAGGATCTACTAATTGTGTTATTTACTTTTCTTTTCAGTTTATGCCAGTTGTTCAAACAGAAAGTGAACACAAACCTCCTGTGAATGGAAGTTACTTTGCCTGTATTAACCCTGCAGATGGAGGGTGCCTGCTAGAGAAATACAGTGGGAAATATCATGATTTTGGGTGTGCATTAATGGCTAATCTTTTTGCCAGTGAGGGCCACCCTGGGAAGGTGATTGTCCATAATAACACTGTATTCTCTAAATATTCTCAAATAGCTAAAACTTTGAACTTTTTATTACCTCTAACATGGTTTTTGATATTAAAAAAAAAAAATCAAAAGTTGCTTAAGGCAAAGTTCCTTAAATAACCCAGTATGAAAGATACAGAGTACTACAGTACGAGTGAAAGTCTTATTTAAAGCTAACGTTAAGAATAATACTCAGTAAGCAATTCCTTTTTCTGAGTAACTAAAAAGTAACAGGATACTGATTTGAGGAATGAGTTAGTCACTTAAACCAACAATGCAGCTAAAATAAATAGCTGATACCTACCTATAGGTAGCAAAATAGGTACTTTGCTTGTTCCTAACTGTTTATACATTGATTATTGATTGAACTAGACAGGGATGATGGTAGCAGAACATTTTAGCAAGAAAAAGGTAAGGTGAATTAGTGCCTTCCTTCATATTTACTTCATATCAGTATATAAAAAGATGACTTCAGTCTTAGCAGTTGAGCGGACTCTTGGACGTCTTAATAGAGATAGCCACTGCAGCCCCTTTGAGAATGAATAGTGCAGTCTAAATAACCTAACAGAGATAACATAGGTTCAGGCAGAATAGTGAGGGAGGTCAGAAAATGTAATCATTGTAATCATTCCCCCCATTACCAGAGGTTAATCCCTTAAACCAGAAGATTTTTAATCTATTTTCACCTTGACACATATAATGAGAGTCTCCAGAGTTAAATGCAGGATTTAGCTATAACTTTCTCCAGGAAAGCATGAGTTAATTATATATAACTGACATATATCTGAGTGATCAAGACTCACAGAGTATTTAGACACATCAGCTCAGATCTGGGTACTGAACACAGAGGAGTGAATATTTGCATGATGGCATTAAATTACATAACGTTTCACTTTGAAACTCATTTACCTAAAATGTTGCAGCTTAAAACAGTGGTATGTATATTTATGTTCTCTGTAGGTCATCGAGGTGAAAGCCAAAAGAAGAACTGGAAAACTTAACTTTGTGACTTGTATGAGACAGACTCTTGAGAAACATTATGGAGATAAGCCTGTAGGGATGGGAGGTACTTTCCTCGTTCAGAAGGGAAAGGTGAAAACTCACATTATGGTAAGGTTGTGCATGTGTTGGGGCATGTGTGTGAGCGCGCACATGTGTGTGTGAGTGTGGCCACACTTAAGAATTTAGGATTTATTAGTATACTTTGGGAATTCTATCTTTAAAAATACCCTGAGGAAAATCTTTTACTATGAGTATATTATTTTAAAATTTAAATGACATACAATACTGTAAATCACACTGTGAGATAATATCTAGCTAGAGATCTTTTCTCATGTTAATATATTAGAACTTTCTTTTCAGCGTGTTTATTTTTAAGATCAAGATAGATGTGAAGTGTAAGCCTTACAAACTAAGTATTTTTTTCATTGCTAGAATCCCAAACTCAGTACATGCTAGACTTTGCTATTAAGGTGGTTGTGCTCTTGGGGAAAGAACTCATTATGAAAAGTTATAATCTTAGGGACTAAGGGACAGTTTATAAAGCATTAGGGATTGAATACTATACAAAGCCAGATCCAGAGCATTGAGGACTTTTTATTTATAACTTTTGGTACATGAATGAATGAGCCATAAAAATAATTTCAGTTTAATTTCTTTTTCATTTTATCAGTAAAGCCATAAGAAAATATAGTATTTTAATGCTTTTTATCTTAATAATTTTAAGTGGCAAGCCAATGATCCTGCATAGAAAGAGGTAGCATTTTTAAACCTACTTACTTTTCCAAATTATTAACAAGAGAATTATAGATAAATAGATTTGTAAATACCAGAGGATTATAGGATTGAATCATAATGTTACAGACTTCCAGATCAAGTTTGTATTTTATTTTGTTCTTAACCAAAAAAAGCAGCTGTCTTCAAAAATACACATAAGCGCTCCTTTCTTCCTAATTCCTGCGTGTATATATTTCATTTAGATGAGATTTAAAGCTTAAATTTAATTCTTCAACAATTTATAATTTATAACTTCTTTAACATTTTAGTAGCTCTTATCAGGAGTGAGGAAACCCTGGTGGCGTAGTGGGTAAGAGCTACAGCTGCTAACCAAAAGGTCAGCAGTTGGAATCCACCAGGTGCTCCTTGGAAACCCATGGGGCAGTTCTACTCTGTCCTATAGGTCGCTATGAGTCGGAATCAACTTGATGGCAACATGTTTGGTGGGTTGGTTATCAGGAGTGAACAGGAGAGCATACCATGAATAATTGTGTGTGTGTGTGTACTTATTATTTATGTTTGTAGACGTATTTGAGTTCAAAGGAGCCCTGGTAGTTCAGTGGTTAAGTGCTTGACTGCTAATCAAAATATCTGCAGTTTTAACCCACCATCTGCTCTGTGGTAGAAAGATGTGGTAGTCTGCTTCTGTTAAGATTACAGCCTTGGAAACCCTATGGGGCAGTTCTACTCTGTCCTATAGGGTTGTTATGAGCCAGAATCGAATCTACAACAGCGGATTTTTTATTTGAACTCAAGAAACCATAAACACAGAGGAAGGATGAAGCAAAGTCTTCCTTCTGTCTACTTTTAATGCCTTGCTTTTTTCTTTCATCTACTGGTAGGAGTAATGAGATTCCAGATTAGGATGGTAACATATTCACAAGAAAACTGGTAGGCTATGAAAAATAAAAATATATTAAATAGACTCATTCCTTCATCAGTTTTAGTTTGTATACATTGATTGACTATTCTTTTGAAAACTAAAGTATGTAACTTCTTTTGATGCCAAAAATAGTCACTAGAATGTACAAGCCATAAATTTTTTAACTTATTGAAACTGCATATATTTTTAAGTTTTAATTCTCGGAATATTCACTATAGGAGCCCTGGTTGCACAGTGGTTAAGTACTCTGCTGCTAATTAAAAGTTGGTGGTTTGATTTTGGTAAAGATTACAGCCTTGGAAACCCTGTGGGACAATTCTACTCTGTCCTATAGGGTCTGTCTGAGTTGGAATTGACTCAATGGCAATGAATTAATATTCAGTATATTCAATGATTATTTTGTTTAATGATTTTTTTATTGTAGCCTGCAGAATTTTCTTCCTGCCCATTGAACTCTGAAGAAGAGGTGAATAAATGGTTGCAATTTTATGAGATGAAGGCTCCTTTGGTTTGTCTGCCAGTTTTTGTCTCCAGAGACCCAGTAAGTCTGTATCTCCCTTTTATATTGCAGTATACTACAATGATAACACCTGAGTTTTAGGACTGATTTTTTAATCCTACCTTTTGTGTTGTTGTTTAAGAACTAGGATAATATATGTTTATGAGTTAGGTAGAGCAAATTTTACCTTTGAGAAAATGAAGGCACAGGCATTTTAAATGACACCCAGAGTCATGTTAAGTAGCAGAATCAGGACTGGGATTCAAATCTCTTGTTATCTTATTTGGTGTTCATTATATTCTAACACAATACTACAAGCTTACCCTTAGAGAAAAATACTGCAATATAGACCGGTTCAAAGCAAATGTTTACCAGAATAATGACTGGTCATATCTTTTGATCCAGCAGTTACATCCTAGGAATATATCCTTAAATATTTGCATAGATATGTAAAATGACATAGTTAAGAGGTTATTTGTGACATCATTGTTGTATTAGCAGAAGAATTGGAAATAACCTAATTGTCAACTGGGAAATGATATATACATACAGTGAACACCATGTAGGTATAAAAGAATGGGGAAGCTCTTTTATGTTCTAATATGCAAAGACCTCAAAGCTATATTGTTAAGGGAAAAAAAGCAATATGCAGAAGATTGTGTAGAGTGCTACTGCCACTTCAATAAAAAAATTAATATTTCTGGGAGGATAGACAAGAAATTACTTGTATTGATTGCAAGGAAAGGGAGTAAGTGGGGAGGGGAGGAGGTGGAACAAGACATTTTACTGATTTTATCCTTTTGCATCCTCGGAATTTTGAATCATGTGAATGTATTACCTTTTTAAAAAATCAAATAAAAAACTACTGTAATATAAATAAAAAAGGTCTCCCTTCCCCTTAAAAAAAATCCTACCCAAAACAATATGAGTTCTAACAGATGGTTTGTCTGTTGTTCTAGGGGTTTGATTTGCGATTGGAGCACACTCATTTTTTCAGTCATCATGGAGAAGGTGGACACTACCATTATGATACTACCCCAGAGACAGTGGAGTATCTGGGATACTTCTTACCTGCAGAGTTTCTCTTTCGTATTGATCAACCAGAAGAAACCCATTCATTTGGGCGAAATTAAATCACCTGACACTAATTTAGAAAAGGAGGTAATTAAGGTTTAAATTTAAAATCAAGCTCATTAATTGATACTAATATAAAATCCAGTGGAAATGATCTCACCATTAAACCTCATTTTTTTGGCCTTTGAAATGAAACTGTGTTCTATATTTTATAAATCTATTTTTGAGAAATCATTGTGAACAAAGATGCATAATTGAGATGTTCTTCATTGTTTTTATTGTATAATATCAGCAAAAACAGAGTCGTGGTTCATGTCTGTTACAGATCGAATTGTATCCCCCAAAATGGTGTGTTGTAAATCTTAACCTCTATGCTTGTGGTTATAATCCCATCTGGGAATGGGTTGTCTTTGTTGTGTTAATGAGGCAGGATTAGTGTAGGGTGTATCTTGAGTCAGTTTCTTTTGAGATATAAAAGAAATTAAACAAGCAAGCCAGAGAAGCAGAGATGGGGGAAGACACATGCCAAGCCACATGAAGACTGCCCAGGAGCAAAAGCTCAAAGAGACAAGGAACTTCCTTCAGAGCCCACAGAGAAAGACTCCCTCCAGAGTTGGCACCCGAATTCAGACTTCTAGCCTCTTAAACTGAGAAAATAAATTTGTTTGTTAAAGCCATCCACTTGTAGTATTTCTGTTATAGCAGCACTAGATAACTAAGACAGCACTTACGTGAATAAAGCATAAAGTATTAAAGACTGAGTTTTCCCCAGAAAATCCATTATATCCATCGGCTAAATCTATGGTTACTGTGCCTGGAACTCCTGCCCTTGGTCCATTTCTCTGATACATTGTTTTTCTGAAACATATTCACTACAGCAATAAGGACCGATTTCTCCTTTAAAATTTATACTAATGCTTGGGATTAGTTGTATTAGCAACCTAATATTTGCCATTGTTGTAGATTCCTAAAAGCAGGCTTCTAATTGCTCTTGGTTTCAAGACCCCAGCTTCCTTTTAGGTTACCCGTGAAGGCTTCATCAAAGCACAGATGGCCTATTCTTTCATTCAACAACAATTTACTGAGCATTATCAATGTGCCAGGCACTGTACCAGGCACTATGAATACAAAGATAAATAAGACATGATCCCTGCCTCAGAGGAGCTAAGCCTAGTGGGGACACTGACTTGTGAATAAATAATTAAAATAAACTATGATATGTCAAGCTGCGATATGCAGATGATACAACCTTCCTTGCTGAAAGTGAAGAGGACTTGAAGCACTTACCGATGAAGATCAGACTACAGCCTTCAGTATGGATTACATCTTAATTTAACATAAAACAAAATCCTCACAAGTGGACCAATAAGCAACATCATGATAAACAGAGAAAATACGGAAGTTACCAAGGATTTCATTTTACTTGGATCTACAATCAATGCCCATGGAAGCAGCAGTCAAGAAATCAAGCGACATATTGCATTGGGTAAATCTGCTGCAAAAGATCTCTTTGAAGTGTTAAAAAACAAAGGTGTCACCTTGAGGACTAAGGTGCTCCTGAGCCAAGCAATGGTATTTTCAATCGCATTATATGCATGGGAAAGCTGGACAATGAATAAGGAAGACGGAAGAATTTATGCCTTTGAATTATGGTGTTGGCGAAGAATATTGAATATACCATGGACTGCCAAAAGAAGAAACAAATCTGTCTTGGAAGAAGTACAGCCAGAATGCTCCTTAGAAGCGAGGATAGTGAGACTTCTTGCTTACTTTGGACATGTTATCAGGAGAGACCAGTCCCTGGAGAAGAACCTTATGTTTGGTAAGCAGAGGATCAGCAAAAAAGAGTAAGACCCTCAATGACATTGATTGACTCAGTGGCTGCAACAACGGGCTCAAACATAGCAACGATTGTGAGGATGGTTCAGGACCAGCCAGTGTTTTGTGCTGTTGTGCAGGGGTTGCTATGAGTTGGAACCGATTCCACAGCACCTAACAACAACAACAACATGATTAAGTCCTATCAGTATTGCCCCATAAGTACTGTACATTAGAGGAATCTGTGTATCACAAACACACAAAAAAAGAAATTTACTAAAGAACACACACTGGCCAAGATAGAATAAGCCTAGAACAAACGTTTATTGGATAAAGTACAGAAAGCAACTCTGAGCACTCATAACATTAAACAAGCAGGCAGATGGCAGAGAGAAGGCAACACTTCAAGAATGAACAATATGGTAATGAGTTTTCTGGTTTTTCTTCCTTCTTTTATTCTCCTGGATTTGACCCAAGACAGCCCGAGTCAGAGAGCTGTTTAATGGGCATGGACAGCAAACACTCCCGAGAGAAAGCCCTTTTGTTCTGGCCAGAGAACCAGGGCACCCCTGAGAGCCACAGAATGTGGCAGTCCCCATTTTTTTCATTTTCTCTTTTTTTCCTCTCCCAGCGCTGCCCAAAGTCTAGCCCTAGTGGAGCCAAAGCTGCACTGCTGCATTGGTGGCGTCAGCAGAGCAGTCTCCTAAAACCCCAAGAGAATCACCTAAGACCCCAGAGGAACCAGGAAATAGTCTCCTGGTTGTCCCATTTTTCTTTCTCTGTTCTCTTGCTGCTGCATCCATAGGGTGGCCCCAGTTGTGTGGAACAGCATAATAGTCTGGGAGGGAGGTACAGGGCAGGGGGCACTAAAACTCTGAAAGAAACTAGGCTTTCTAGCCAGAGGAAGCAGGAAAAGGAGTGTGATTCATAATGTATTCCCTTATTAGACTTTAATCTTTAAGGTCTGTCAAAAAACCAAAGCAAACCCGTTGCCATCAAGTTGATTCTGACTCATAGTGACCCTAGAGGACAGAGTGGAACTGCCCCATAGGGTTTCTAAGTAGCGCCTGGTAGATTCGAACTGCCAACCTTTTGGTTAGCAGCCGAACTCTTAACCACTACACCACTAGGGTTTCCTTAAGGGCTGTAGGTGGTGCAAATGGTTAATGCCCTCAGTTGCTAACCAGAAAGGTTGGCAGTTCAAGTCTATCCAGAACCACCTTGGAAGAAAGGCCTGCCAATCTACTTCGGAAAAATCAGCCAGCTGTTGAAAACCCTATGGAGCACAGTTCTACTCTTGACATGGTGGGCTGCCATGACTCGAGGGCACCTGGTTAAGGTCTGTAGTGATATCCTTTCATTCCTGATATTAGTAATTTGTGTCTTCTCTTTTTTTACCATGGTCAAAATACAGTATTATTAATTTTATTGATCTTTCCAAAGAATTCTGTACCAGAAAATATAACCCGTTGCCACTGAGTTCCACTCATAGCAACCCTATAGAACAGAGTAGAACTGTCCCATAAGGTTTCCAAGGAGCAGCTGGTGGATTCGAACTCCCAGCCTTTCAGTTAGCAGCCAAGCTCTTAACCACTGTGCCACCAGGGCTCCCAGAAAATATAAAGAACTCTCTAAAATTGAACAGTAAGAAAACACTCTAATTTTAAAATGGCCAAAAGATTTTAACAGACACTTCGTCGGAGAATATATATGGATGGTAAATACAACAAGATGCTCAACACCATTAAGTCATTAGAGAGATGTAAATTAAAATCATAATAAACTTAAAAAAAAAAAAAAAAAGACTGACAATACCCAGTGCTGGTGATGATGTGGAACGCCTCGCATTCTCATACATTGCTGGTGGGAATGCAAAATGGTACAGCCACTCATGAATACTGTTTAGCAGTTTCTTAAAAAGTTAAATATTCATTTACCATATGGCCCAGCAGTCTCACTCCTAGGTATTTACCTTGCAGAAATGAAAATTTACATTCACACAAAAACTTGTACACGAATGTTCATGGCAACACTAGCGGAGAAGGGCACCAGCTACTCCATTAATATTTTGTTGTTCAGTGATGTAAGCAACGCAAAGTTAAAAAACACTTATACAAATCTTATAAACAAGAAAAGCCCTGCAAGCAACCAGTCCAACCGATGATGGAAACTGAAACGTCTCTCCTCGTCACACCAGGAAGTTTTTCCCGACCTCCAATAGGACTGCCCCGCAGCGCGCGCTCGGAGCAGCCGGCGCCTGCCCAGTTTCGTACCGTAAAGACTTTGCGAGCCGAGTACTGTAATGCATGCCGGGAAAGGCCGTGGTCCTCCGCTTTGTTTCCGGCCCAACAGCTGCGTTTCTGCGCCCAGGCACGCAGGTTCCTGCTTTCTGGCTCCCGGTGGAGGCGTCCCTGTCCCCACCTCCGTTCTGGCCTCGAGCGGGAGTCAGTCCCCCGCACGCCGCCACCGCCAGCATGTCAGGGGTACGCGCTGTGCGGATCAGCATCGAGTCGGCTTGCGAAAAGCAGGTCCAGGAGGTGGGCCTGGATGGCACTGAGACCTATCTGCAGCCGCTGTCCATGTCGCAGAACCTGGCGCGTCTGGCTCAGCGAATCGACTTCAGCCAGGGTTCGGGCTCCGAGGAAGAGGAGGCGGCAGGGGCCGAGGGCGACGCGCAAGACTGGGCGGGCGCCGGATCCAGCGCAGACCAGGACGACGAGGAAGGTAAGACCCATGTCTTCGCCGAGCTGGGTCTGGGGCGGTCACAGTACCCACCCAGTAATGTCACTCTGCCTCTCGCCTACTGGGTGCGATGCTGTGAGTGGGAGTACTTAGAAAGTAACACTCATGCGGAATAATAATTGTGCTCATTACCATCGTTTTGGACACTGCTTGACTTTTAATACTCCTCATCCTTCTGCGGGTCTTCTTGAGTGGGAGCGTTTAAGACATTGCCACTGGTGGAGAGTTTACATAAATACAGTAAAACCTGCGAAAGCTGGAAACTGTAAGGTGGAAACCTCCATCAGAGAAGGAAAAGGCAAATATTTTCCACTAATAGTGATAGAAAAATGGTAAGACTGCACCCTGTCAACTTGCAAGACTCGGAAAACAAGGCAGTCCCTTTGAGTTCCGGGTTTCATAGGTTTCACTGTATTTTCTTATAAAACGGTTGCACTGTGGCACAAAGTATAACTGAACACTGTAAGGTCATAGCACCGCTCTGGTGTGACTAGCTGTGTGGCCTTTGTCAAGTTACTTTGCTTCCTTGTGCAGTGTGGATAATGATAGTAGCACCTTCTGAAACTGAAAAGAGGTCGTTGACTGGAGTACCAAGTGAGGTATAAGAGATAGGCAGGGACTAGATCATGCAAGCCTTGTAGGCCAGGATAAGCTTTTGGCTATTACAAGGACAACGGAAAGCTTTTGGAGGCTTTCAAGTAGAGACAAAGATGAATTTGTTTTAAAAAGAAAAATTTTGGATGCTATGTAGTAAATACAGGGAAAACAAAACTGGAAGAGGAAGACTAGTTAAGGGGCTATTGTAGAACTGTAGAAACAATATGAGGAGTGGTTTTGGGTTTCATTATTTTCAGAGGTTAAAAAAAATCTAAATTCTTGATTTAGTTATGCAACAGACCCTGTATAAATGGAAATTTAAAGAGGTCAAGCCAATGGTGTTATGACAGTTGGGGTTCATTTGGGGAGAGAAAGGTAGATACTACCTCATATCTCATGAAAGTTAATTCCACAAGGAGTGAAGTGCCAAGTGAAGAAAATAAAAATATTGGAAGAAATATTAAAAGAATAATCATATAATTTTGGGAGTAGGTGAGATGTTAAGCAAGGTAGGAAACAAGTTATAAATAAAAAAATACATTCATTACATGAAATTAAAAAAGAATGAAGGAAAAAACGTAAACAAAGTAAAAAGATAATCGACCGACTAGGAAAAGTATTTGCACCACATATGATACACAACTGATTGTCGTTGTTAGGTGCTGTTGAGTTGGCTCTGACTCATAGGGACTCTATGTACAACTGCCTGGTCCTTCGCCATCCTCATGATTGTTGTTAGGCTTGAGCCCATTGTTGCAGCCATTGTGTCAATCCATCTCGTTGAGGATCTGCCTCTTTCGTTGACCTGCTACTTTACCAGGCATAGTGTCCTTCTCCAGAGACAGTCCCTCCTGATAACGTGTCCAAAGTACTTGAGATGAAGTCTCACCATCCTTGCTTCTAAGGAGTATTCTGGCTGTACTTCTTCCAAGACAGATTTGTTCGTTCTTTCGGCAGTCTATGGTATATTTTTTCACTAACAGTACTTTTCACTAACACCATAATTCAAAGGCATCAATTCTTCTTCGGTCTTCCTTATTCATTGTCCAGCTTTCAAATGCATATGAGGCCATTGAAAACACCATGGCTTGGGTCAGGTGCACCTTAGTCTTCAAGATGACATCTTTGCTTTTTAACACTTTAAAGAGGTCTTTTGCAGCATATTTGCTTAGTGCAGTGGGTTGTTTGATTTCTTGACTGCTGCTTCCATGGGTGATGATTGTGAATCCGGGTGGAATGAAGTCCAACTTCAGTCTTTCTCCATTTATCATGATGTTGCTTATTGGTCCAATCGTGAGGATTTTTGTGTTCTTTAGGTTGAGGTGTAATCCATACTGAAGGCTGTAGTCTTTGATATTCATCAGTAAGTGCTTCAAGTTGTCTTTAGCAAACAAGGTTGTGTCATATGCGTAACACAGGTTGTTAATGAATCTTCCTCCATTCCTGATGCCGTGTTCTTCATATAGTCTAGCTTTTTGGATTATTTGCTCAGCATACAAATTGAATAAGTATGGCGAAAGGATGCAACTCTGATGCACACTATTCTCGACTTTAAACCACACGGTATCCCCTTGTTTGGTTCAAACAACTGCTTCTTGATCTGTGTACAGGTTCCTCATGAGCACAATTAAGTGTTGTGGAATTCCCATTCTTTGCAGTGTTATTCATAATTTCTTATGATCCACACAGTTGAATGCCTTTGCAGTCAATAAAACACAGGTAAACATCTTTCTGGTATTCTTTGCTTTCAGCCAGGATCCATCTGACATCAGCATAACTGGTTAATATCCCTAATATTCAAAGCATTCCTTCAGACTAGGAGGAAAATGATGAATCAGTGAAACAGTAGGCCAAGGATATTAACAAGTTAAAGAGGAGAGGCTTCAGATGCCAATAAATATAAGAAAATATGCTCAGTCTCACTGATGCGAATTAAAGCATCATTAAGATACTATTTTCATGTGTAAAATTAGCAGAAATTTAAAAGACTTAATATTCAGCATTGGGAATGTGAATTGGTAAATCTTTACGGAAGCTGACTGCCGCATCTTTCTCCCATGGAGTAGCTAATGGATTTGAACTACCAACCGTTCGGTTAGCAGCCACACACTTAACCACTGCGCCACCAGGGCTCCTTCAGAGCTTTTTTAGAAGACAGTTTAGCAGTTATGTACAGTATGTTTAAAATGTGCATATCCTTTGACCCACTAATACCACGACTAAGAAGTTAACTTACAAAAAACCATAATTGATCAGGATATTTACTGCAGCACTGATGGAAGCAATCTGCATGTCCATTAAGTGGGAATGGTTAAACTTATTGTACATTTATGCTCCAGAATATCATGTTGTCGTTGTTAGGTGCTGTCGAGTTGTTTCTTGGGCACTCATGTTGGGCCTCCCAGGTGGGTCACAATATCATACACTGTTAAAAAAAAAAAAAAAAGTATGTCTGTATGCGCTTATGTGGAAGTGTCTTTAGGACATAATATTAAGTGAGGGAAGGGGGGAACAAATGACAGAAAAATGGGAGCATGTGTATATAAATGAAGACATTGGTGATTCAGTGGTAGAATTCTCCCCTTCCACGTGGGAGACCAAGGTTCATTTCCAGCCAGTGCACCTCATGCAAAGCCACTACCTGTCATTGGAGACTTGTGTGTTGCTATGATGCTGAACAGGTTTCAGCAGAGCTTCCAGACTAAGGCAGACTAGAAGGAAAGGCCTGGCCATCTACTTCTGAAAATCAGCCAGTGAAAACCTTATGAATCCCAATGGTCAGATCCCCAGCTAGTCGTGGGGATGACTCAGGACTGAGCAGCGTTTTATTGTGTTGTCCATGGGGTCTCCGTGAGTTGGGGGACCCACTTGATGGCAGCCAGCAACCACCACAACATGTATGTAAATGCAGAGAAAAACATTTGGAAAGGGTACACCCCTACTGTTAATAGAGGTTACTTCCCAAGAGAGGAGAGGGAGAGGACTCTCACTTTTTACTCCATAATTCTGAATTGTTTGAACTCTTCTTACAGTGAGCATGTTTTCATGTATTTCATTAAAAAATTAATTTGAAAAAGAAAAAGGATTAAAAGGTTGAAAGATAGCATTAATAGTGCTTAACATCTGAATGATGACATTACAGGTAATTTTTGTTTTTGTATTTTTATGTATTTTGGAACTTGTTTACAATTACTTATTCATGTTCTAAAAGCTGAGGGGGGGTCATTAAAAAAGCTTGCATAAATTTTGAAAGTTTTTGAGTGCCTGCTTATAATGTTGTAGTGATAGATTTAACCTGTGGAAATTGGATATCACATGTGTTTCGCCATTGTAGGTATGCTAACTTAAATGTTAACAAAGATTCAAGAAACAATAAAGGGACTAGGATAAAAGAAGAGCGATTAATTTGAAATAAAATTCATTACTTCTCTGTTTAGTAATTTTAAACCTCTAAGTGAGCTTTCTGTCTTCTCTTCACTGTAATTAATATTGTATATTTCTTTTTTTAGGGTTGGTAAAATTTCAGCCTTCCCTTTGGCCTTGGGACTCAGTGAGGAACAATCTGAGAAGCGCCCTGACAGAGATGTGCGTTCTCTATGACGTTCTCAGCATTGTAAGGGATAAAAAATTTATGACGCTTGATCCCGTTTCTCAGGATCCACTTCCTCCAAAGCAGGTATAGTAACATTTGTGGGCTTTAACCAAAGAATGGTACCATTTTATTAAGTCCCAGAACCATTTTTTAAGCTGTGTGCTTATTGTTCTCTTCTTTTCTTGCGAAGTTAACTCTAAATGAAGCTTTAAAGACTGTTGTTAGGTGCCATAGAGTGGATTCCAACTTATAGCTTTAAAGACTAAATGGTCTAAAAGAAAGACATTAAACTGTATCTCCTTATGTGTCACATAGTATTTATTATATACCTGTGACCCTTGGAAAAATTAGTAAGTTTCATTAATAATGCAATATTTTAAAGTTCCCCAAATTGTAACAAGTTTTTACAACCTGAGTCCTTGGTCTGTAATATATTTCACAAGAATGTGATGGTAAAAAAAAATGACTTTGGAGTCAGATGGAGTTGGATTCAAATCTTGCCTCTGCCCCTCACTAGTCGCGTGATGCTGAGCAGGTTATTTTCTCTCTCTAAGTCTCAGTTTTCCTCTCTATAATACCTCAAAGATACGTTGTCAGGACTAGAATGTGAACTCCAAAGGGCAGGAAACATCTGTCTTGTCTGTCCCTGTAATTCTAGTGCCTAGCACTGTGCCTGGTATATAGCAGATGCTCAGTAAGTGTGGAACAAATAAAATGAGGTAATGCAATTATCGCATAAAAAACTGTTAGCCCTGTGTCTGACACATGGCTACTATAAATATTAGCTGTTATCATTATTATTATACTTAGAGCCTCCATGGAGGCAACCTTGAACCAGGCCCTGAAAAATGGGTAGAATTTAGGTAGTTAAGGAGTTCCCCTACTGGTTGGCAAGTTAACATTTCTACATCTTGGTTTCCTCATCTGGAGATATTACTAGGTTTTAAAAATCTTGCTTTATAGGGTTGTTCTGAGCATCAAATGAGATGATATATGTAAAGCATTTAGAATAGCATTTAGCATATCATAAGAATTCAAGAAATGTTACAGTACTTTATAATTATTCTAGATGGGGAAACAGCATGAGAGAAGACACAGAGTAGTGATTATTTTACCTGGTTTTCAGGACCTGGTTCGAGGATGACCTCCGTGGTGTTCTTCCTACTGCTCTAGTACTCAGTATCTCCCTCCAAATGAACTTGGACTGTGTAGGTTGTAAGCATAAAAATGATAATAGCAGTTAATACTTATAGAGTAGCCATGTACCAGGCATTGTTCTTAGAGTTTTTCATATATTGACTGATTTAATCCTCACAACAGCCCTCATTTTTACAGTTGATAAAATGCACTCAGAGAGGTTAAATAGCTGATCTAAATTACATAGCTAGAAAGTATAAGGGCTAGGGTGGCCTTCATCCTTTTATTATCTAAATTCTATCCTCCCCCCCCTTTTTTTTTTAGTATCTTGTTAGGAAAGTTAGAAAGGCCAAGTTGTAGAAGGCATTAAAAGCTGGGTAGAACTGTTGAAATTTGATGAAGAAGGTACTCAGTTTTTGAACATTGGAAGATGAAAACAGAAGGATGACTTGGTGAATGAAGAGTCTGAAGTCAGGGAGTTGAGTTAGGAAGCTCTTGCGGTGTCAGCACGATGACCGAGTTAGTGACTTGGAGAGAAATGGTGAATATAAAAAACTGTTTGCACATAAAACTACTGAACTTAATTACTCACATAATAACTTCTAATAATCTCAGAATCTAGAAACATTGTGCTGGAAGACGTCTTAGAGGTCATTAAGTCTGCTTTCTTCATTTTACAGAGAGAGAACTAAGGCCCAGAGAGATTTGTGATATGTTCAGGTTGCAGTAAAGCCTGTTGTTAGAGAGCCAAGACTAGAACTCTAGCCCCTCCCTCATAGTTCACTGCCTTTTCCACCATGTGTGCCGTTTCCCAGTGAATCTCCAGGGAGTTCTTAAGATCTGTAGAAACTTGTTAAAATTGGAGCCCTGTCGGCCCAGTGGTTAAGAGCTCGGCTGCCAGCCAAAAGGTCAGCAGTTCAAATCCACCAGCTGCTCCTTGGAAGCCGTATGGGGCAGTTCTACTCTGTTCTGTAGGGTCACTGTGAGTCAGAATTGACTCGATGGCAGCGGGTCCCTAATATGACCAGATGATCGTTGTGACTTTTTATGAAACATTTTATGTGATTTTCTCTCTTAGGTAGCCAGAAAATTTATTTTATTAAACCTGGCTTCTTAGAAGTGTGTTCTGCGTAATAAAATACACAGATTGGTGGTGATAACAGATATTTATATAAGTGTATATAATACATAGGTTCAACTTTAAGCAGTTTTTTAAAAAATTAGCATTCAGTCAATACATTTGATATTAATTCTATGTTTTCAGTCTTAATTTCAAGGCACTTCAATAGCTTGCAATTATAAAAGATAATTTCACAGTTGTACTAGTTGGATCATTCACGTATTCATTGAATGAAATATTATATGCCAGGCAGTGTTCTAGAGTCTATTAATATAGTGGTGAAAAGACAGTTTCTGCCATCATGTAGGTTACATTCAAGCAGGGATTATAGACTTTAATCAGAAGTGTAATGGGTGCCACCGAAGGGTATACACATCAGTGTGTGGCCTAATCTAGACTGGGCAAAGTTGACTGCAGTGGTAAGTTCTGATTTCCAGTCTGCTGTGGTATTTTGCCTTTAACATAAGTCTTCATGTGCGTTGACCAACGAAATAGTTTAAAGTTATTTATTTTAAAAAACAACACTGTATTGTTATGTGTACTCCCCACTCCCTTTCTCTTTCGTTTTCTTTAATTTTTAAATTTTCTCTTTAGTATTTTTTTAATTGAAAAAATGTGTAATTTAAAAGTCATTTAAAAATAATATAGAGCTACACTTTTGGATTGTTTTTGTAGAATCCTCAGACATTACAATTGATATCTAAAAAGAAGTCACTTGCTGGAGCAGCACAAATCCTATTGAAGGGGGCAGAAAGATTGACTAAATCGGTTACTGAAAATCAAGAAAATAAGCTACAAAGAGACTTCAACTCTGAGCTTTTGAGATTAAGGCAACACTGGAAACTGAGAAAAGTCGGAGATAAAATCCTGGGAGATCTGAGCTACAGAAGCGCAGGTATAGATAACTGTAAAACAATACGCTTTTTGTCTGAGTATGTACAGGATTGATTGGAATGCTGCATGTTCTTCTGTTGTTCCTCAGACACTACATTTTGAAATTCTGATTTCCATACATTATCCTGAAGGAGCTAAAACCACTCTTATCATAACCTTAGAATGTTGTTGTTAGGTGCCTTCAAATTGTTTTCAACTCATAGCGACCCCATGTGACAGAATAGAACTGCCCCATGGGGTTTTCTTCACTGTAATCTTTGTAGAAGTCGACTGCCAGGTCTTTCTCCCACAGAGCCGCCGAATCGCCAGCTTTTCAGTTGGCAGCCAGATGCTTAACTGTTTGTACTGCCAGGGCTCCTTAAGGATATAATAAATAGTCTAGATCCAATTTGAAAACCTTTTAGTTTTAGGTACATTTAACAAAAAGTTCAAAGGCAGGGTTTATGTGCTAACACACCCTGAAACTTAGTTGCCGTTTTAGTCAGAAATGAGGTAGAACTAGATTTCTCAATCAGGGCCTTCCCTGTAACACTTAAAACCTGAGACTAAAAGGAGAAAAAAAGTATTTCTGTTTTTCCTTATCTTTCTTCCATTTAGCTTGCTAAGCTGTTTTCAGGTCTTAGGTGAAGAGAGAGGATGGTGAAAACACTTTGCCTTCTTTTTCCAGTTCAACCAAGGCTGCAGCACTAACCTGAGCAGTATGTATTGTGTTGAATTATTCCAGAGCTTGATGATCTCTTGTTCACATCTTTTGGTATAATCCTTTGTTGTTGAGCTATAATAGGAGGTTTCTAAAGATAGTGAAGGCAGTGTCTTGTAAGTTGCTGAGTGGTGGTCGGAAGAGCTGTAAGTTAACGGTTCATAAGGGTCACAGCTCAATGGGGTAAAAGTTTTGAATTCCAAGGGATAAGGAAAGGAGCCATGGCTGTGATGGTTGAGATAACAATAGTAGAGGGAGAAGAACTCTGGCTTGCAATCAGAACATCTGAATCCAGGTACCACTGTGCCCCTTTATTTTCTGTGTACCTTTGTCATTTAGCTTTTGTCTTAATTGTAAAATGAGGATAGCAGTACCTTCCTACCTATTGCCGTCGAGTTGATTCCAACACATAGCAACCCTATAGGAGAGGGTAGAACTGCCCCATGGAGTTTCCAAGGAGTGGCTTGTGGATTTGGACTGCCAACCTTTTGGTTAGCAGCTGAGCTCTTAACCGTTGTGCCACCAGGGCTCCAGTACCTTCCTAGCAGACAATAAAGGATTAAAGGAGATAATGAATGTGAAAATGGTTTGAAGCTAATTCTCAGACGTTACAGTTGAGGTCTAAAAAGGAGTCACTTGCCAGAGCAAGCTATCGTTTTCCTAAAATTAGAGGAAGGTAAGTTGAGGTGGTTAGGTCAGATACTGGAGGACCTACCTGCCTCAGCACTGATGTGAATTGGGGAATTTTGAAGTCTGAAGATAAAATCCTATTTCAAAAATAAATTCAAGATGATAAAGCCATTTTTATATTTTAATAGGTCATCTGTAGAAACAGTGCTTTCTGGCTCCAAACATTGTAAATTCTTTCTAACATAATTACATAAAAATACTTTTCCTAGTTTCTGTCAATGGGGTTGTCATTCATGATTATAAAAGAATCAATTACATTCTGTTTTTAATTGCAAGAAGGTCTTAGAAACCTTTCCTTGTTATAAAATGGCAATTATATTTAACCACACATTCCTCACATAATTCAACAACCCAGAAGAACTTACTAAACTACACAAAAAAAACATAAAAATCTAGGAACTGGTTAAAAAAAAGTGTGATGTGTCTGTTATCCTTTGTCCTTCTCTTGGTGAATTCGGAACATTTCAGCTGTATCCTTTCTATAGAGGCTAAGCTCCGAGAAGTATTATATCTTCAAATTTTAAGTCTGAGGAGGCATTTTATAGTAGAGCCATTTTATCACAGTTCCATTAGAGTAAAACAATTTGGATAGCCCATGGAGTCCATATTATAATGATGCCATTAGACTAAGTGTTTTTGTTTGTATTTTTATTTTTAAAGTAAATAACAGTTTTCCCCTGCTTCCTTTCCTCCCTTTGCTTAGCAGCCCTCCCCCATCTCTGCCAAATCTCTCTCTCTTTCTCTGTCTCTCTCACACACAGACTTGATGGTTCAGCAGTTATGAAGTATTATTATATACTCAAAACGTAGGCTAAATAAATATGTTAACTTTTTTATTTTTCTTTTAACACTCCATTAGGATCTCTCTTTCCCCATCATGGTACATTCGAAGTAATAAAGAATACAGATATTGATCTAGATAAGAAAATACCAGAAGATTACTGTCCCCTTGATGTCCAAATTCCTAGTGATTTAGAGGGATCTGCATATATCAAGGTATCTGTCAAAGTATTTTTCAAATAATTTCTTATTAGTAGCCCAGAAGCTAATTCACTAACCTTTTTTTTCTTTCATGTTTGTATTGTCACATAGGTTTCAATTCAGAAACACGCTCCAGACATAGGTGACCTTGGCACAGTTAACCTCTTCAGACGACCTTTGCCCAAGTCCAAACCAGGTGTAGTTA